TTTGAACCTATGAGTGTCTTTGCACGTGAATGGGTCCCTAAATACAGCACACCAATGGGTCTTGACTCTTTATCCAATTTGCCAGGCTTTGCTTTTTAATTGGGGCATTTAGCCATTTACATTTAAGGTTAATATTGTTACATGTGAATTTGATGCTGTCATTATAATGCTAGCTGGTTATTTTGCCCATTATTTGATGCAGTTTCTTCATAGTGCTGATGGCCTTTACAATTTGGTATGCTTTTACAGTGGCTGGTACCAGTTTTTCCTTTCCATATTTAGTGCTTCCTTCAGGAGCTCTTGTAAGGCAGGCCTTGTGGTGAAAAAATCCCTCACCATTTGCTTGTCTGTAAAGCATTTTATTTCTCCTTCACTTATGAAGCTTAGTTTTGCTGGATATGAAATTCTGGGTTGAAAATTCTATTCTTTAAGAATGTTGAATATTGGTCCCCACACTCTTATGGCTTGTAGAGTTTCGGCAGAGAGATCTGCTGTTAGTCTGATGGGCTTCCCTTTGTGGGTAACTCAACCTTTCTCTCTGGCTGTTCTTAACATATTTTCCTTCATTTCAACCTTGGTGATCTGACGATTATGTGTCTTTGGGTTGCTCCTCTCGAGGAGTATCTTTGTGGTGTTCTCTGTATTTCCTGAATTTGAATGTTGGCCTGTCTTGCTTGCTAGGTTGGGAAAGTTCTCCTGGATAACATTCTGAAGTGTGTTTTCCAACTTGGCTCCATTCTCCCTGCCACTTGCAGTACACCAATCAAACTTAGGTTTGTTTTTTTCACATAGTCCCATATTTATTGGAGGCTTTGTTCATTCCTTTTCATTTTTTCTCTATTCTTGTCTTCACACTTTATTAAGTTGATTTTCAGTCTCTGATATCCTTTCTTCCACTTGATCAATTCAACCATTGATACTTGTGTATGCTTCATGAAGTTCTCATGCTGTGTTTTCAGCTCCATCAGGTCATTTGTGTTCTTCTCTAAATTGGTTATTATAGTTAGCAATTCCTCTAACCTTGTTTCAAGGTTCTCAGCTTGTTTGCATTGGGTTAGAACATGTTCCTTTAGCTCAGAGGTGTTTGTTATTACCCACCTTCCAAAGCCTACTTCTGTCATTTCATCAAGCTCATTCTCTGTCCAGTTTTTTTTCCTTCAGTGGTGAAAAGTTATGATTCTTGGGAGGAGAAGAGGCATTCTGGTTTTTGGAATTTTCAGCCTTTCTGCCCTGGTTTATCCTCATCTTCATGGATTTATTTACCTTTGGTCTTTGCTGTTGGTGACCCTCAGATGGAGTTTTTGTGTGGTCATTCTTTTTGTTGAGGTTGATGCTATTTCTTTCTGTTAGTTTTCCTTCTAATAGTCTGGCCCCTCTTCTGAAGGTCTGCTGGAGTTTTCTGGGGATCCACCCAGCCCCTGTTTGCCTAGGTTTCACCAGTGGAGACTGGAGAATAGCAAAGATGGCTGCCTGCTCCTTCCAGAGGGGCAGTCACCAGATGCCAGCCAGAGCTCTCCTGTATAAGGTGTCTGTCGACCTCTGTTGGGATGTGTCTCCCAGTCAGGAGGCACAGGGGTCAGGGATCCACTGGAGGAGGCAGTCTGTCTCTTTACAGAGCTTGAGTGCTGTGCTGGGAGATCTGCTGCTCTCTACAGAGCCAGCAGGCAGGAACGTTTAAGTCTGTTGAAGCTGAACCCACAGTTGCCCATTCCCCCAGGTGCTCTGTCTCAAGGAGATGGGAGTTTTATCTAAAGGCCCCTGATTGGGGCTGCTGCCTTTCTTTCAGAGATGCCCTGCCCAGAGAGGAGGAATCTAGAAAGGCAGTCTGGTTACAGTAGCTTTGTGGCACTGCATTGGGCTCCACCCAGTCTGAACTTCCAGGTGGCTTTTTTTACACTGTGAAGGGAAAACCACCTACTAAAGCCTCAGTAATGGTGGATGACCCTCCCTCCACTAAGCTTGAGTGTCCCAGGTTGACTTAAGACTGCTGTGCTGTCAGCAAGAATTTTAAGCCAGTGGATCTTAGCTTGCTGGGCCATGGGGTTCAGATCCACTGAGCAAGACTACTTGGCTCCCTGGCTTCAGCCCCCTTTCCAGGGGAGTGAATGGTTTGGTCTCACTTGCATTCCAGGTGCCACTGGGGTACAAAAAAAAAACTCCTTCAGCCAGCTTGGTGTCTGCCTATACAGCCAGGCAGTTTTGTGCTTGAAACCCAGGGTCCTTGTAATGTAGGCACCTGAGGGAATCTCCTGGTCTGTGGGTTGCGAAGACCATGGAAAAAACATAGTATCTGGGCTGGATAGCTCCATTCCTCATGGCACAGTCCCTCATGGCTTCCCTTGACTTGGGGAAGGAGTTCCCCAACGCTTTGCACTTCCTGGGTGAGGTGACTCCCCACCCTGCTTCTGCTTTCCCTCTGTGGGCTGCACCCACTGTCTAGCCAGTCCCAGTGAGATGATCTGGGTACCTCAGTTGGAGATGCAAAAATCACCTGCCTTCTGCATTGGTCTCACTGGGAGCTGCAGACCAGAGCTGTTCCTATTCAGCACTCTTGCCCTGGAATCCAATGTGATTTCTAACTCCTCAACACACATATTTTCCTACAATTATATTTAAGCACAAAATCTACCAAATGCACTTTTCCACAGCACCCAAGTTATTACCAATGTCTTCTTCCATCTTCTGTTCCCCAATTTCTATAAAGGTTCAGCTCAATGGCCCCTTTTCCAGGAAACCTTCCAGATTATTTTAGCTTAGAGCTGTCTCCTTGCCCCATATATTTAGGACATATATATATATCACTAATTTGATTTCTTATCCCCTTCTTTTTATATGTGTATATTTTAGCTCCCAAAGGGGTCTCTAGACTACTTCAGGGAAGGCGCTGGTAAATGTAGTAAAAGTAACTGAAAGCATCATTGAGTTTCATTGCTTAATGTTATAGAGACATGTGAAAAGGAAGTTGCTTGAGCTTTTTCACTTTTCAGCTAGGTTTTAAGCAGAATTATATATAATAATAAAATTTGGTTAATTCTCATTTCTTTGAGTTTTTTACTAATTTTGTGAGGCAACGCTTTGGCTAATGCTTGAAAATAGATCTTCATCTTAAGCACGGGCTACAAAATATTTAATCTGGGACATATAGGACTCAGGCTTTACTAGTGTGTAGAGCATACCCATTGTGCTTATTTATCAAGTGCTCAGTGAATTTTCTCTTTTCAAATACTCCCAATTAGCATTAAGTATAGTTTCCCAGGCACAACATATTTTTGACCGAGGGTTTTCATTCAAGATTGCATCCCTTTACACACACACAATGAATGAAATTATTTTATTGCTCTTTCTATAAATGTAAAAATGGAATTTTGGCCTGCATAGCCAAGACAATCCTAAGCAAACAAACAAACAAAAACAAACACACAAACAAAAAACAAACAAACAAAAAAACCCCCAAAAAAAAACCATAGCTAGAGGCATCATGCTACCTGACTTCAAACCATACTACAAGGTTACTGTAATCAAAACAGCATGGTACTGATATCAAAACAGAGATATAGACCCATGAAACAGAACAGAGGCCTCAGAAGGAACTCCACACAACTACAACCACCTGATCTTTGACAAACCTGACAAAAACAAACAATGGGGAAAGGATTCCCTATTTAATAAGTGGTGTTGGGAAAACTGGCTAGCCATATGCAGAAAGTTGAAACTGGATCCCTTCCTTACAACTTACACAAAAATTAACTCTAGATGGATTAAAGATTTAAACATGAGGCCTAACACCATAAAAAACTCTAGAAGAAAACCTAGGCAATACCATTCAGGACATAAGCATGGGCAAGGACTTCGTGATCAAAACATCAAAAGCAATGGCAGCAAAAGCCAAAACAGACAAATGGGATCTAATTAAACTTAAGAGCTTCTGCACAGCAAAAGAAATTATCAATAGAGTGAACCAGCAGCCAACAGAATGGGAAGAAAATTTTGCAAGCTACCCATCTGACTAAGGGTTAATATCCAGAATCTATGGAGAACTTGAACAAATTTACAAGAAAAAAACAAACAACCCCATCAAAAAGTGAGCAAAGCATATGAACAGATACTTTCCAAAAGAAGACATTTATGCAGCCAACAAACATATGGAAAAAGCTCATCATCACTGGTCATTAGAGAAATGCAAATCAAAACCACATTGAGATACCACCTCATGCCAATTAGAATGGCAATCATTTAAAAATCAGGAGACAACAGATGCTGGAGAGGATGTGGATAGATAGGAATGCTTCCACACGTTGGTGGGAGTGTAAATTAATTCAACCATTGTGGAAGACAGTGTGGCAATTCCCCAAGGATCTAGAAATAGAAATTGTATTTGACCCAGCAATCCCATTACTGGGTATATATCCAAAGGGTTATAAATCATTCTATTATAAAGACACATGCACGCTTATGTTTACTGCGGCACTATTCACAATAGCAAAGACTTGGAACCAACGCAAATGTCCATCAATGATAGACTAGATAAAGAAAATGTGGCACATAAACACCATGGAATACTATGCAGCCATAATAAAGGATGAGCTCATGTCCTTTGCAGGCACATGGGTGAAACTGGAAACCATCATTCTCAGCAAACCGACACAAGAACAGAAAACCAAACACCACATGTTCTCACTTATAAGTGGTTGTTAAACAATAAGAACACATGGACACAGAGAGGGGAACATCACACACTGGGGCCTGGGGCAGGGGGTTGGGGGCTAGGAGAGGAATAGCAGTGGTGGGGATATTGGGGAGGGATAGCATGAGGAGAAACACCTAATGTAGATGATGGGGTGATGGATACAGCAAACCACCATCATGGCACATGTATACCTATGTAACAAACCTGCACGATCTGCACATGCACCCCAGAACTTAAAGTATAACAAATAAAAATGTAAAAAACAATTTTAAAAATTTTGGAGCCATAAAGCTGTCTCCAGAAACACTTTGTCTTTTTTTTTTTCTTGGTTACTTTTTGTTTCATACACTTAAGAAATCAGTGACCATGGCATGCTGTGCTCTGTATGGGACATATTTTTGCTTTATTTCATTGATTGAGAATTATATTGGAGTAGCACTATAAATACTGCACTACTTGGGAGAAAAATATTTTTTGGCTAACTCCATTAAAAATCACTGAAAGTTACAACTACAGAAATTTAAAAACAGTATAAAGCTATGAACATGGAACAGCAGTGTTTTATGGCATGTGAAATACCCCTCTCACACAAACCGCATAAAAGTTTAACCAGCAAGAGGCATCCTTTTAGGAGGCTGTCACTATAACGGGCATGCTGACTGCAGCAGTCGTTGTTAGCAAATAAAAATGATGACTTTCTTTTTTGTAAATTCCATCTCAGGATGTGAAAAAGAAAAATGAACAACCGATGGCTGTAGAGAATCTACTCCTATGGACCTGTTCTTGTCTATTACTCTGGGAGAAATACCTCTGTTGCACTATATGGTCATGGTCCACATCTTACCCAGTTGTTTCAACCATTTGCATGCATAAAAATGACATTAGACATTGAGTGAAATGCACATTCCTGGGCTACTTTGCAATAATTTCTTTTAGAGTAGATTTGGAGCAGAGCCCAGATGCCTGAATATTAACTATCAACTAAAATGACATGTTCTTGGACTACACTTTAAGAAACACTGCTTTGGATCTCGTACAGCATAGGCTCTATGTTCTCTATGATGGGAAATGAAGTAATGATGAGTCTCCCCCCAGTACTGTTTAGGACCTGAGCCAATCTATATTCTATGGCAGTTTATCATGTCTGAAGCAACATGTTGAACTAGTATAGGAAGGATTTCTAATGCAAAAATTTCCAGGAAGGAAGGTTCAATATAAGAACAGCTTACAAATGGCAGTTGGTTCAGTACAGGAATGTTTGACATTCAGTTTCAAGGCCTGTGGCCAATTTTATAGCTACTAAAACAGCAACACATGGCAGCATTGTATTTTCAGTGATTCAATTGTGTGCCGAACCAAGTTTCTCTTTAATTAAATATTCAGCATTTGAAGCAAACTGAGAAAGTATGACTGGGCAGGTTGTTGCAGACATTGAGTCCTTACAGTAACGATTACTTTCTTTTTTTTTTGGCATAGTTCTATTCATTTGACTGGTGTGTGTTCTAGAATTGGGGCATAATTCTGGGAGCATTCTTCCTAAGATAATGTGGCTTATGTTTCTATTCACCGTGATATTGTAACAAAAGGCCACCAGCTTTGCAGTTAAGAGGTCCTGAGCTTGAACTGGTCTCATTAGCTTTGTAAACTTGGACAAATCTCTTAGTCTTACTATGTCCGCTTCACTGAGTTTTCAGAGAATCAAGAAATCACATTTGGCAATGACCAGGCACAGTAGCAGGGAGTTCTCTCCCTCTCCTGCTCTTACCCCTTTCCTTAGTGATAATTCCTTTCTTGATTGATATAGCAAGTTACCCGAACTAAAAGACTTAGGGTCATTTTTTAAAATCCACCTTCTTCTTTATACTTCTTATTCAGTTAGTCACCAGGTATATCAACTCTGCTCCTAAAACTTTCTCTGGCTGCCATCTGCTCTATCAGGCCTCTAAACATGATGTGTCCTTTAAGTAGAATGTCCTTCCTCTCTATTCCTCTACAGGCAAGACAGCGATGTTTCATGCTCTGAGTATCACAAAGCCTTTGATTATTCAGCAGCACAGTCTTCCCCACAGTAACAAGGAAGCTGAATGACACACAGTGCTGCAGTCGAGACTATGCCCCAGTGCACCTTGGTTATTCCCTGTGGCTGTGTTCCTTCATCTGGATCACTGCTGTAGGAGTTACGGAGTGACATTTTAACAAGAGCTCCCAGTAGAGTCCTGAAGAGTCACCATCTTTAATGTATATAATCAATACCTGCTCTTTTCCTCTCATGCTGCTCCTAAGGCCACCTGTGCAAAAGAAAAAAAATAAAAAATAAAAGCCCCCTCCCAGCTTACTCCTCAGGTAAGATAAACAAATCACCCCTTTTACAGACACTATAAGCCACATTGTTTCAATTTGACTGAAAGGAGTTTTGTATGAAACATGTTTTAATTAAAGGAATCAAGATATAAAAAAATAGCTATGTTATTCAGAAATGTGGATTCTTTGGAAAATGGAATCAAGAGATATTTTCAGAAAAAAAACTTCTCTGAAAGTATAAAAAAACTGAATGATGTATTTAAGAATGAATAATATCTCAAAAGATTTATCTTAAAGTGTAACTACCCTACCTTCTTACCTTGGTTCTTCTAAATCATTTCTGAAAGCTAAACAACAGAGACTACACATTAGAAAACCAGCAAACATTTGTTAAATAATTTTCAGAAATATATGACATAAGTGTTGAAGCTAGGTATTAAAGAATATGGTTATATAAAATATAAAGTAATGATCCAAAAACAAGAATCCTGTTGCCTTGTTGTTGCTGCTGTCAACTGCTAGGACTATCTTGAAGGACTGATGTCAGTTATTGACAGCACAGTTATAAAACCAGCAGTGGCAAACTTACAGCTAGTAAAAAAAGAAAAGCAGCCTGCTTGAGATCCTGGTACAGGTTCATTGTGTAGGCCCAGGAAATCTGTCCTCCCAAGGGATAAACACATTTAGGACTTCCCAGAAATTAACAGATTTATTCAAACATTTACTGGATACAAGGCAGTTTGATGAGGCTATTACAAGAAGGCATTCTAGGATTCAGGCAGAGGCATGCTCCTTCTGCAACGTCTCGACAAAGCATCATGACAATTTGCCTGACTGCTCTAATATCCCATTTTTTGTAGGTTTTTAAAAAAGTTGATCTATGGTTGGAAATACTTATGCCAAATAAATAAATAAGCTAGCTATGACAAAGTGGAATAGTTTCAGTTAATCAGGAGATTAAACAAGAAAAAGAACTGAAGTAGTCAAATCGTCAAGGAAATAGGATCCCTTTTCTGAAAATGAAGACTTGAAGGAGCTGTTTGTTATTGTGTTTTTTTACGATCATTTTCTCATTTAATCCTTACAGCAACCCTACAAAATAAGTACTATTGCCATTTGCATCTTACAGATGAAAAATTTAGATCAGAGAGTTGAGCAATGTTCCCGAGGTTACACAGCTGGTGTGGGTTGGACAGCCCAATGCTCTGCCATGCTATATGCCCAGTCGTGTTATCTATCAACAGTTTCCCCTCAGTAAATTCTGTTTGCTTCTCATAAACTGGAAAAAAAAAAAAAAAAAAAAAAAAAAAAAAAAATAAAATAAAAAAAAAAAAAAAAAAAAAAAAACTACCAAAAATCTTGTTAAAAGCTTGAAGGCAACTATCAAATCATTCATCCTCTCTACAGAGGATAAAACTAAAATTAATACAATTCAGTGGATTGCACTGAAAAAAATATAAGGATAAAGGAATTAAATGATTAGATGAAAATGAGGGGGATGGCCGGTGTTCCTGAGGTCTAAAACAATGTTTTCCTATTAATAACAAAAAGAAATTCAAACCGTACAGATGGCCCAAGATAATATGAATGCAAGACCTGGTTTACATATCTTTTAATTTTAAACTTGTAAAAGTCTTCATGTATTATATATCTATAATCTCAAAGAAATAGCAACAATACTAAATGTAGAAATAAATTTGATGCAAAACATTGCCTCTGTATATTTCTTGATGCCACATTTTAAGATACAAATTCACACTTTAGTAGTCAAAAGACCTCTTCCCCTCTCCCACGGGAAATTATGCCAGGGAGTGGGAGACACCTGGCTGGCCACGCAAAGGATCCAGAAGGGAAGGAGGGAGGACACAGAGGGAAAGGAGAGAAAATTCTTAGGCTGGGCTGAGTTGAGAACGGTCAGAAACAACTCACAAAATGACTTCAGAAGCAGAGGAAATAGTGTGCTTAGGTAAACCTTTTGGTGATATGCTCTGGAGAATTTAAGTTTACCAGGAGAAGAAACAGACTTGAAAGCCCCAAGTCCCTGGACACAGAAGTAGAAGTAGGAAAATTTCTCTCAGATATGCTGTGCCAGCATAATTTCTTACAGGCATAAAAATGTATGTCATCAAGTTAGACACCGAATATAGAAAAATGTCAACCCTGTTTCCAAGGACCCTATTTGTAGCCTAGGATGAGACAAATACAACATTTCAGCAATCCCTAGTTTCGGAGGGGCCACTGGGTTTACAGGGAGTGAAAGCAGAAAAGTACGGACATGGAGGAGAAGGTTGACCCTGCCAGCGTCTGACAGCTCCCATCTCTTTGCTGAAGGCATCTTCGCGTGAAGTCAGGCGCCCCAGGTCCAGGGGTGGCGGGGACTCCACCTGCTGCAGCAGCCACAGCCTGTGGGTTCTCAGGGCTACTCTGGAAGTCAATCAGAGAAGTCAAAGCAGGCACATTTAAAATGAAGGAATATGGCAGTTGAGAAATTTCCAAGCAACCAGTCCTCCTTTACTTGAACGAGAGGAAGAAATTTGGGAGACTGAGGCACAAAATAACCACTAATACACATTCTGACTGGCTCCCAAGGCTGACGGAAATAATTTCTGTTAACATATGAGTACAGATAAGTCATTAATTGCAAATAACTACTAAGTATTTATTGAGCTACTACAAAGTTAGACAATATGTGGGACGCTGGAGAGGCAATGAAGAGTAAAAAGCCTTAGTTCTTGAGCTCCTGTCCTTCAGAAATCCAGGCAGGGGAGACAGTCAATCAGATAGCCACACAAATGAGGAAATGCCCTAATGATGGACTGAAGTCATATCTATTAAGTAAAAAGCCTGTTTATAACATATAACAAAGGAAATTGGTTAAGCAATGTGCCCAAAGTTAAACAGCTGGGAACTAAGTGGATTGGTGAGGTAGAGGAGATATCTCATTTTAAAATCTTTTATAGTGATACAATAGCATGTAAACCATTAACATTGAAAGTTATCCAAGAAATCCATCCAATATAGATAACCTAGAGATTTTTACATCATGGAAGGAAAAAAAATATGCTTTGGATAGATTTGTTCAGAAAAGTATTGCTATTTAGACCAGCCTCTAACAAGCAATATTTGGTAAATCTTATTATTGTAATTTTCATATAGTACATGTTGTTATGTTATGAAAACAAGGTTGCTTAGCTATTTCCAGTTGTAGTACCCAGCTGTGGCATGGAATACTTTTTTAGTTCTCTCACAAATCTCCAATGGAGAACGCTAATATTGTTAAATGCATGCCCACTAGAGAAATTTTACAAATTACAGAACACTACAACTCAAATATACAGTAACTATATATTAATGAAATAAGTAAAACTGATCTTCAAAATGAAAAAATATATAATCTCCATATTCAATGTGCTTTAATCTTTGAGAAACGTTAAAATTTGATCATCCTTAAATTGAAGAGATTATTATCAAATACTGCTATGTAAATGTCAAGGAACTATAACCGTATTTTCTCATAATACTAATACATTTAAAGACACTGAAAAATAAAACTGATTCAAATAAAAAAGAACTACTGTTTAGAAACCAAAATCAAGTAATAGTTTTGTATTTTAAGCTATTGCAATAATAATTCACTGAAATTTTCTTTCATGTTAATTTATGTGAAGTTAAAATACTTCTATGTTTAGTTCCATCTTTATCCTCTAAGAATTGAATAAACATTGCTCTAATGAGATAATAACTTTAAGAAGTTTTCCCCAGTTGCCTATGAATTTTTTTTCAATACATTTCCAAGTTCTGAAAATATTTGTCAATTTTGAAAAGATTTTGTCAAGAAAAAGTGCAACATTTAAATCAGTATCATTGCAAACTCTAGCCAAATATCCTTAGCAAGTTGTGGATTTCAAACAATGCAACACACACCACAGTCAGTAAATGATGATCTAAATGTTTTGAGTTCTAGTGCCTACTGAATTTCTTTTCTTTATCCTCCTCATAACAGTATACAAGCCATCAGTACTAAATCTTGATCTTCCTGTTAGTGGCTGAGCTTACAAAGACACAACAGACATCTTGAAAGTTCAAATTGAGAGATCTTCTGGATGATTACTATTTTGGCAAAAATGAGAATGCTGAGCTCACCTTTGCAGCATGTCACAAAACACTCATAGCTTAGAACTCAAGGATATATTAGAATAGCAGGTGCCCTGTCAGGATTGGACATGTGGCTTGAGAATGTGTTGTCTAAAGCATTGCTACTTGAAGCCCTGCCCTAGCATCAGCAGTTAAAAATACAGATTTGTGGCCCTCACCTGCTGAATTAGAATCTCTGTGATGGGGCCCAGGGATCTCTGTTTTAATAACCTGTCCAGTTGATTCTTAGTCCCACTCAAGTGCTAGAACTTCTGATTTAAAGGACTTCTGGGTGGAGGTTACAAGGCTTGCCATAGACAATCAGATTATGTTTGTTCCCTCATAACAGCAACATAGATATCAACTGGGAGCTTGATAGAAATGCAGACTTTTCTGCCCCAGCTCTACAGAATCAGTCTACCTTTAAGGAAGGTCTCCATGTAATTTCAAGTTCAAGTTGGAAACGGCATGAGTGCTGATCTGTTTTCTAAGGGCATGTTCCCCTAGGGGCTTGTTCTCTCCAGCAGTAGCTACAGTGCTCTGGGCCTCTCTCCTCTCTCCCATACCAAAATCCTCATTTACCCAACAATGTGTTCCAGGCAGGTACAGGGACAGGAAGTGATTTATACGAGCTAATAAGTTTTAGTGTATAGTTACTGGTAAAATTCAATGTGCTTTGAATTCCTACAATATCAGCATTAAAAAGAAAAGATTTCTGGAGATGATTTTGTATATATATATTTTTTTTCTTCTATAAAAATGCTTTTTTATCTCATGGCTTTTCTTAAATTGATACAATACATACGTATGGGGTACAGTGATATTTTGATACATGTATACAAGGTAAAATTATCAGAGTAAATCAAGGTAATTAGCATATCCATGACCTCAATCATTTATCATTGTATTGGGAGCATTCAAAGTCCTCTTTCTAGCTCTTTGAAAATATACAATAAATACTGTTAACTAGAGACACTCAAGAATGCTATGAAACACGAGAACTGATTCTCTTATCTAGGTGTAATTTTATGTCTGTTAAGCAAACTCTCCCTATCTTCCCTTCTCTCCTGCCCTTCCCACTAGTAACCACTATTCTACTCTCTACTTCTACCTTTATGAGATCATGTTCTTTAGATTACATATGAGTAAAAATGTGGTATTTCTTATGGCTAAATAGTGCTCCATTGTGTATACATACCACATTTTATCCATTCACCTACTGATGGACACTTAGGATGACTCCATTTATCTTGGCTACTGTGAATAGTGTTGCAACAAGGGAGTGCAGATTGTCTCTGATATACTGATTCATTTTCCTTCAGATAAATACACAAAAATACCCAAAAGTAGGATTGCTGGATCGTATGGTAGTTCTATTTTTAGTTTTTTTGAGGAAACTCCGGACTGTTTTCCAGAATGGCTGTACTACTTTACATTCCCATCAGCAGTGTGGGAGTATTTCCCTTCTTCTGAATCCTCGCCAGCATCTATCATTATTCATCTGTCTGATAACAGCCATTCTTACTGGGGTGAGAAGATATCTCATTATGGTTTTGATTTGCATTTTCCTGAAGATTAGCAAGTTGGGGCATATAAGACATGAAATACAAGTTTTCTTTTATATATATGAAATGCTATCATTTTATACTTCAATCTGATGCATGCATGATTTGTTATAATACAAGTTCTGCGTCTAAATATAGGTCCAAACATGCAAAATAAATAGCAATTTTAATTTTGGTATTCTCTTGCATTTTGCTAGTAACTGTTTTAAAACTAAACCATTTAAAATGAAAACACAAGCTGAGGATGGCTACATTTATTAAACAGTTCTTCATCAAAATTTACTTAACACAAACAATGCACTAAATACTACAGCGAAGAGCCTGCTCGGATTTGGGCAATCATTTATCTTTACCTAAAATTTAAGGTTTGAAAATCTGATCAGCTATCTCTACTTTGAATTTTACGATTTAACTGAAACATTGGTAACAAACCAAGCATGAAGCCTATCTTCTTGAATTACAATTGTTTACAGTATACCTCAATGATATGAGTAAGCCCTTCTAAAGTTGAGATTGTCACAAATTTTTACAATATGGGCAATAAAGGAGAAACAATTTTTCCCTTGATATTTATGATAAAAACAATATTGCCACATAGAGGAAATTAAGTTTACCGGTAGTTCCTTTTTTTCTGTGTATTCTCTTAATCTTTATTTTCTAATCTTTTTAGAAAGGTTATTCTCTAACCTTTTTAAATATATTCTCTTAATCTTTATTCACAAACATACTTTTTACATACTTGTAACCTGCGTATTCATAAAATTTAGGAGATATCACTATTTAAGTACATGCGGACTTCTCTTTAAAAAAAAACTATACAGTGTAAAACTTACACCATAATCTTCATAGACTGAAGAGTTTCAACCACCAGACCAAATTACAACTTCCTTTCCTTCCTTTCCCACTTGAGAAAATGAACTAATGAGGCTTTCATTAGTTTAACTGTCCCTAAAAGAGTATATGTAAAATATTGTTATCTTCTTGGTTGCTTAGCATTCTCTTTATGCAATCATTATGAAATCTTAAAATTATGAATTAATGTAGATTCTCAAATCTGCACAAAACAGTTTAAAGTTAGTACCAAATGTCTTTTCCACAAGTAATTTTAGTACTTTTTCCTTTATACACTTTGCTTTTTAATTTTTCTGGTATAAACATCCCCATAGTAACTTAACCAATTACCTCATCGTTCTTATCATTCCACTCTTGATGAGCTGGTTGAATAAGAAAGGAATTAATACAAATGACAGACTTCTTCAAAGGGCATCTGCATCTAAGTACATGACAAACACCAAAGGAGAAGCAGCATTAGTTAGGCAGAACAGGGTCTGCAATTAAAGAAGCACCAGTCTGGTTCTACCATACATCAACTGTGATTGATCTTGGGCCTATCATCTTGGCACCATGCAATTCAGATTGTCTACTATAAAAACAAGATCTTATTGACAGTCTAATTCTCTGTGGATATGACGGGGAAAAGGCAGGACTATTCATAAGCATTTTGAAATCCTCAGATGAAAGCTTCTGACTTTTTTAAACAGAAGATTTCATGTTATTAATACACATTAGGATAAATATCTCTTATTATTAACTTGTCCTGCTAAAACATCTGTATCATTCTGGTTAAAAATTATAAATGAGTTTACTTTTCCACTGTTTCAAGAACAGGTCTGGAGAGCATGCTGAACTGTTTTCATTTAGTGACACACTGACATCTAGTGGAGACTTATGGTGTGCTAAAGGATATCATACACCAAAAATAACCACAGTTCTGATGGGGCAGAAAGAAAAAGCACCTTTTGTTTTTTATGCAAAGCATCAAGAAAAAAGATTTTTAAAAGATTAAACAAAGAAATGTACATTTCTTGTACGCTTAAGTTTTGTTTTTTCAATTAGAAACACTGGCCAATTCACAAAACGTAAAATGAAAAGATGGAATATTAGAGATGGGAGTGGTGAAAAACTGTTTCATGTTGTGGTTTGAGAAATCCCAAAAAATATCCCACTAATTCAGAATTTAAAGGAGCAAGATGTAATTATACGCTCACTTGCTCTTTACTTTTTACAGTGAATGCAGGCAAGGGGGGAGGAAAGAAAGCGAGAAGAGACAGGAGTGGAGGGGAAAGGAGGGAAGCAGACAGGGGAGGCAAGCCTTCCAGGGTTTTCACTACATCCCTTGAATTAATTTCTGCACTTCCTTCTAGTTAGAATTTTATTAATTCCAGAAGGAAAGCTCCTTTAAGCAAATATATGTGTAAGCTATTTGGCATGTCACTAAGCATTTATCAAAACCTGCTCATTTAATGTACTGTATTCACTTTGGAATAATAAAAAAAAAAAAAAAAAAAAAAGTTTCTATTACCCTGGGCTTTCCCAATGCCTAGCACCATCAGTAAAAACATGGCTTCTGTGTTTCCTTTCTGTCCTTCTACAGGTAACAAGAAATAAATGCTAAGTGGTCCCAGGAGGAAGTCAATTTAACACCTGCACATTTTATTTAACATGTAATTATTTAAATTAGATAAGATTAACAAATATTCATTGGAAAATTATCACATTCATATCTGGTACAGTACAAATTAAATCTAAAACTGTGTCCCCTCTTCCCCCTTTAGTGAACCTGGGAAGGACTCAGAGTACAGATGGTCTATTTGATGTACATCAGCCTATTTCTTTGTTTTCTATTGAACTTCAATCACTGGATGGAACTTCTTTACACTATTGTTTACAGCTTCATTATTCCAGTGAACAGGCAAGGCTGAAGAGGAGGCATTCTGGAAGCTGAAATAAAGAAGTTATATTTATACTGCTACGTGCTTAGCCTCTGGTTCTGGAAAACCTTTCCACCACACCTCTTCCAAAAAAAAAAAAAAAAAACGGCAAAGAAAAGTGAAAACATCTTATTATTGGCCTGGGAAAAACATGGAACTAAAAGAAATCCTCAAGAACTAGGAAATGTGTGATTTTTCTCTTGAGAAGAATGTGTATCATGTTCCCGCCACACCCAGAATGCTTCTAAATTCTTTAATTCATTCTTTCAATTATGTCTGGAAATAAGAGTCATCCAGAAATGGTTAGACCAGCTCTCCAGTGTAAAATCCTAAAAGAATATATATATTCTTTTAAAAATAGGGTCTTGCTCTGTCACCAAGGCTGGATACAGTGGTATGATCACGGTTCACTGCACGCTCGACCTCCTAGGCTCAAGCAATCTTTCTGCCTTAGCCTCCCAAGTAGCAGGGACTATAGTTATGCTCACCATGTTTGGCTAACTGTAGAGATGAAGGTCTTGCTATGTTGCCCAAGGTGGTCTTGAACTGGTCTCAAGTGATATTCCTGCCTTGGCCTCCCAAGTGCTGGGATTACAGGCATTGGCCACCACACCTGGCCCTAAAATAATCTTAAGGCAGCCATGTTGCTTAATTATAACAAGATGTCCTTTAATAAATATGTATCCATTGTCGGTATTGTTAAATTTTTAAAAAGAAATATACTCACTTATTTCTTTCTTGGCAATTAATAAACTTCAATCTTCAGAGCCCAGAGACAAAAACAAACAACAAAAAAAACAACAAAAAAAGATGCGACACAACCTATTAGCACAAGCAAAAACAATGTTCTAACAGTGAAGCTTCATACTGCACTCAAATGTATAATTCTCCATACAATTTAAAACTGTATATTTTACTGCTTTTAAAAAAAAGTCCTTCAGACACTTTACCTGCCCATTGTTTTACCACTAAGTAAATTTTCCTTTCACTACATTTCTGCAGTTGTTCATTGTTTTTAGTTCAATTACATAGTTGAGAAAATTCAGGCCCAGAGAAGTGAAGAGAAAAAGAATTCCTTGCTACAGAGCAAGAAAGCAAATAAGGCATTTGAAAGCTTATTCTATTACAGGCTGGTGGTTAAATTAATTAAAAGTATTCTAGCTCTGGAATTCAGTATTGTAAAGGCCCAGCGGTCAGATTTAAGATACCAATTATTATTGAAGTGTTTTACTCACAAAGAAACTATTGTGATAAATCAATGACCATAATTACTGCAAAAATATAACTAACATTTAAAAGTTGTGATCTCCATACTCATTTCTTTCAAGAGGAAGTGTCAAAATGTGTCAGGCCACAACCCTTGGTAATTGGTTTTTGTATATGTGTAATATAGATTTTATTGGATATGTTCTACGGATGGTGATTTTAAAGATTTCCCAGCAGAATCCCAGCTTTGGAACTAAGGCTGCTGTCCCTACTGGCAGAAGCAGCAGATTCCTGTGATTCTCGGAGAAGTCACTAGATTTTTTGGGGGGTAGGGTGGGGTCGGGTATGTTTCTGTGTCCTCCTAAATCAGTCTTCTAGTTCCATTCTCCCAGGATATGCTGCCATGTCCTGGACTGGGAATGACTCTTCTGGACATGTCCAAAATTGCAGATTCTAAGAAGAGGTGGTTATTCAAAGATCAGTCCATAAAGCATGTTACATAAAATGAATCTAGAGATGTGGTCAGAGTACCTGTGCACAATACATTTAATCTTGGAAAAAGAATTTACAGTAATATTATGGAATCAATACCGATATTCCCACCACCACAATCAACCAGTCTTTGTGATCTTGGCTTCCCTGGAAATGTTAAGAAAATAGAGACAAGTCTGACTTAGAGAATCTGAGAAAACTTTATTGATCTCTTTATCCTTCCAGCATTACGAGAGCAGGCAAATACAATGTTTTAACCCAACCAAGCTCAAAGGAGCAAACCTTTTTTCCAAGCCATAAATAGGCTGGATGTTTCCTCCACATTATAGCACCCTCTCCTAAATCAGCCTTTATTCACCTCCGTGACAATGATAACCCACAGCTCAGTGCAGGATGGAGATGCTTTTGCTGTTTCTCTTCAGAGGTCCTCACCGGAGTGTTCTTATCTTCTTGTGGGCTTTGGGCATCCTATGATATTTAACACTCAATACCTCCCAAATGACAACCACAGAGTTACATATATCCTTCTTTGAAAATACATGAAGAGAAAAAATACATGTCTAGCTAATGACTAAGAACCCTCTTAACAAGCTGCAAGTCAGAAGAAATACAAGTGATTTCTAATTTTAGTTAACAAAATATATGATGTCAGAGATGCTGTTCTCTAAATACAGACTTCAGAGATACTATATTCGTGGCAATATTCTAGCCTGGCCTTAAATAAGAAAATGCTGTTTTAGCAAGGTACCTGAGAAGTATTAACCTGGGAAACAACATAAAACAGGAAAGGTGAACAACATGAGATTTAAAATTCTCTGGTCTCCTAAACTTACTTCATTGAAAAGCCTTCCCTTTGAGCTTAACTAACATCAGCCTAACTTTTAAATTAATATCTGAAAATTTGGGGCCCATGTTTAAATGTGCCAAACCACTGACCCTTGAAGAACACCACAGGGGGGTGATCCCACACAGTGCAAAAACCCACATATAACTTTTAACTCCCCAAAAGAAGTAGCCTACTGTAGACCAGGAGTCTTACTCATAATAAAGTTGATTAACACATAGACTAATATCTACATGTGTTTTATGAATTCATAACTATTTTTTAAAATATTTCTAAGGTTCGTGGTTTGCAAGTTTTTTCAGATTGTTACAAATTTCCCAAAATTTTCTGATACACTTATTGGAAAAAAAATCTGCATATTAAGCGGACCTGTGCAGTTCAAACCCGTGTTGTTCAATGTTCAACTGCACTTGGAAATCTTACTGGAAACCTATCACCATAATAAAAATAAAACAAGTGGCACCATATGTCAAACTGACATACAGTACTTAACCCGATTATGTACTTGCCTATGGCTGTAGTGTCATTTTTTGAAGGTACTTACATATAGCTAGCGTGTAAGCTAAAACACTTCCAATACTCAAATTCAGCAAAAAAAAAAAAAAAAAAAAAAAAAAAAAAACAAAAAAAAAAAAAAATAATTCAAAAAAAAATAAGGAGATAAAAGCTTACCAAAAAATTAAAAAAAAAAACCCTCAAAAAAGTATAAAGTTGCCCACTCATCACTGAATCATTTTGAACTGAGCAGAAGGCTCAATCTCAGCACTGCCAAATGCTCTTAGGCACAGAAGCAATGCACCATCTGTCTTGAGGCACCAACTATATCAATTCACATTTAAAATACTGGTGTGCCTAGCCAAGTATCTTAAGCAATCCATTTTCTGATGCTTGATTGAAACTTAACATGGCTAGCAACAAGGTTACATGCATCAATACTTTCAACTGCTAGTAGTAAAATTGTAAAAAAGAGCACCAAGGAGTTGTAGTCCTATGAGCAGAAAACCTTGAAGAAGTCGATGAATTAAGGAAATGTTCTCAATGAGTCACTATCGCTCTCTCTGAGGAAATATTTTTCGGTGATAAGTGGAACTGCTGCCATTGGGAAGAGTGATTCTGGTATTTTGCTACAAAATGAGTACATCCAAAGCTCCTACTGAAATAGACGCTGCTGCTTCCAGGAAGTACACTGATGTAATAACAGAAAGTCAGCCTTCTAGGGAGTTTAGAGTTTATTCAGTAAACAACAGGCAACCATTGAAGTTTAAGCAGGGACTATCCTGATAAAGAGTTTACTCTGGGAAGATTAATGTGATATTAGTGTGAAGAATGGAGTTTTATGGATGAACAAGAGGGTAACTTTAAAGGTTCCTTTAGATAAGGAATAACTAAGGGCCTGAATGAGACAGTAGGAGTGGAAGGAAGAGAACAAAATCAAGACGTGATTTCATTCAAAAATAAGAAATACAGCAACTACAAGTCTATGTGCAACTACCAGAAATATTCTAAAGCAAGCTTATCAAACCTGCAGCCCATAATGGCTTTGAATGAAGCCCAACTTTCTTACAACAGTATGAGCTTTATTGCATGGACCATTTCTTTAGCTCGTCAGCTACCGTTATAGTGTTAGCGTATTTTAGGTGTGGCCCAAGACAATTCTTCCAATGCGGCCCAGGAATGTCAAAAGATTAGACAACCCTGTTCTAAAAAATAGTATTGTAATCCGCTTACAAAAGAAGAGTCATATCCTATTTCTTTTTCAGATAAAAAGAATAATTGGGCTTAAATGTGCAATAATTACAACAAAAGTACTGTTCAACAAGACCCAATCAGGAAAAAAAAAAGTGTTCACTTCTAAGTATTTCTTAACTCTTGACTTTCTAAGTAAAGTAGTTGAGCTAATTAAAACTCCAACCTCTTTGCTGACTAGTTTTTCAGAGAAAATAAGCAAAAAAAGGCCCTACTTCTTACCTATCAATCTTGGGAGGCAAGAAGTCAGAAAAATAGCAGGGAAAGGTAAGCAGAATAAAAGGTATGAGCCTTGGTCATAAGCTGTGATTGCCCTATGGATTTTCTGGAAATGAAACCTGATCTTCAAATTCCCTTCTTACTGAGTGAGGTGCAGCGCAAAGGGAGAGAAGGCTTGTAACTGAATCTTGCCAGGGGGCCAATGATGGAAGTGAGGATCACAGAAATTGGTGTCACTATGTCCTTCTCTGAACACCACAATCCATAAAATACTCAGTTTTCTAGTGTCATTTTTCCTCTAGCAAACTCAGGGACATTATCTGCCACACCATCCACTGACGCTTTTTCAAAGCTCTGTGTAACACACCTTGGACATCTCTCTTCCTGACTAGATTATGATGATCTCCTTGGGAACACAGCCTAACTATCGTTTGTGTCCAGCATTTAAAACAGTATTAACTTTCAGCAAATAATTGAATTTCACTAGTTTGGTGTCAAGGTAGATTCTTCAATGATTTCAGGAAAATCACTTGAATGAAACAAAAATTACAGTGCTAAAGATTCAAACAAATGCTAAAACATAGCTGATGAAAAAGAGTAGCCATCTGAGCTGATATGGAAATTTTAATTGCATGCTCCTTAACACGTTAACTATGAAATAAATGAAAGGCTCATCCAGGTAGAAACTCAATCATTCGTTTGACAGTAAACGACTAGTTACTCTGCTGGACACTGATGGGTCACACACATATATAAATTGTGGTCTCCTCATTCATGCTTTCAGCCAATAACATCTCGTTTCATGGAGGGGTAGAAGCGACCAAAGAACCTCCTACTAACCACATCAACCCCTCCAGTCTGACCTATGCCCTTGTCCTCTGCAAATTCACAACAAGGGTCAAACACCTCACTTGTGCTAGATCCTATCCCCTCCTGTTTATCTAGGGAAACTGAAGACTTTGGTGAATGACAATGCTGCTCTAAGTGCTGGATGCTGTGCTTCTCAAAGAGCTTCTACCTTAGTCAGACAGAAAGACAGATGGCCAAGGTAGTGCACAGAGCTTTGAAAACACCCTGAATAAATGAGGTAGCAGATAACTTTTTCAGGGCCCAGACACTCACTGCTCCTCCTCCCCTATACAATTGACTTCCCCCTCTCTAATCTTTCCCATCAATATACTATAATTTCTCCCATCTTAAAGAAACTCCAACTACTCCCCACTTCTCTGTTTCACTGCAAAATGGTCAGG